TTCCGGCGGAACATAACCTGATAAGGCGAAGCGTAACTAGCTATGCTGTATGTTGTATGTGCGCATATAACCATCAATGCAATGCAGAAGATCAGTTATCTGATCAAAATAAACGCGCGTCCTTTTAATACTGTCAATGCGCGCGGTTTACTTTAAATAGAAATTATCACCGTTGTCATAGAAACTGTTAAATAGCTAATTTAAGTAGACCTTTTCAGTATTTAATCATAATCCACACATTACGGGATATAGTAGGCTAGGGGGTTTACTTTGAAGGGTTCTAGAGCCATTTACCGTTGACATTTGTCGTTCAGTGGGGAATTGTGGCTTTGATGCAATGACAAACCATTGGTATGCGTTACTTCTCAGTTTGGCAACGGTTATCAGCACGATCAGATGCCACGTCAACAACTACAACAGCCACAGCTACCTCACTTTTCCAACGGTGAGTCAGAACTAAGATCAGTTCAAGAGTTATGGAAATTTATGCAACATCTAGAAACCGAACTTAGTATAGCTCGTAGTGATCATGCTAAATTGTTGGACGACTTCGTGGAACTTCGACACGTTAACTCAAAGCTCAGCAAAGTTGTCGATCGTCAAGCGGAGGCGATCTGCAAACTAGAAGTGGAACTAGATAATTTAGATCAATACTCACGTAGGGAAAACGTTTGTTTTACCAATTTGCTAGTTAATGAGAGCAATAGTTGTGAGGACCAAGTGGTCTTGTTGTGTGAACAGTTAGGTGTGGACATTGTTAAGGATGACCTTGTAGCCGCTCATCCCTTGAAGGGCAAGAAGGGTAAAGCCCCTAGGTTTATTGCTCGCTTCAAAGATAGATCAACAGCACAGAAAGTGTTTAGAAATAGGAAAAGCACTAAAAACATTTCCCCAGATAAAAAGAAATTGCTGTTTGAGAACCCCGAAAAGGGTGTCGGGGTACAGCCCAATATAACATATAAACGAGCGGCATTATTAGGGCAGGTCAACGATGCTGTCAGATTTGGTGGACTAAACTCTTGTTGGGTTGACTACAAGAATGGGAATGTTTTATTGAGAATGAATGCTAACGGTAATCCTAAGCTGATTAGGAATACTGCTGATTTGTTGATTTGTGTGCCTACTTTTGAACCTAAAGAGTTTTTGTTTTGTGAGAGCCCCTTTTTGAACAATACTGAATTCACACCGTGAGATGGATATTTCTAATACAACTATTTTTCAGATTTTAATATTTCTAACAGAGAGTTATGGATGACGGAGTTTCAAACATGACCCTTCCCAACATCCTCATACCCTCTGACCGTAAGCAATGCGTCTTCTGTCATAAAATTTTGTACTTTCACCAATTCATTCTACGTTGCAACAACTGTAAGGACATATATCATGGATCTTGTTTAAAGCTAGACAATAGTACCATATTTATACTTCAGCAATTTGTATGGTATTGTAAAATATGCTATGACGATTATATTGAGTATTATAAGTGTGTGACATGTTTAACAAATATTGATATATTTAATGACAAGATTGCACAGTGTAAACAATGTTTCAAAATGTTGCACAAGAACTGTGTTAAGTCTAATATTTGTTCGTCATGTATGCCCTTACCCTTACTTGACTTAAACACTGCTACTACCAGTACTGTTGAATATATTGAAACTGATTTTTATTCCGAACAACCGTTCTTTGCTCCTTTTGAATATTATTACAATGAAATGATAGATTTTATCCCGGATGTTGAAACTCTTAGCGAGAATTTACAAGAATGCAGCCAGATACTGCGTCAGTGCGTCTATTATAAGTTAGATGATTTTGAAGAAAAAATGAACGACAATGGATTATCGTTATTAAGTTTGAATATTGATGGATTCAGATCAAATTTTGACTGCTTTTTAGTGCACCATGGACGTTTCAAAGCTGATGGATATTTCCTTTGTGAAACTAATGTAACAGAACATGAGTCACAACCATTTTACATACCGGGTTATAATAAATTTGTACTTAATCGATTATTGAAGGAGGATGGAAAGCTTAAACACAAAGGTTCTGGTTTGGTAACGTTTTTGCGTGACAAATTTAATAATATTAATCAAAAATTTGAGCTTTGTTATTCTACCGTTGATTTTGAATCACTTTGTGTTGAAATAACAGTTAAATCTGAAAAGTTACTAGTTGTTAATTGTTATAGATCACCAAGTGGAAACTTTGATTCATTTATCGATATGTTTGGCAGTATCTTAAGTAAATTGAACACATTTAAGGGACACAAAAGCTATATTCTTGGTGACTTTAATGTAAATCTATATAACTCCGAAAGAATTAAAAGCAGCAAAAATAATTCCTTTGTATAAGAATAAAGGATCTATTTCTGATATAAGCAATTATCGTCCTATTTCAATGTTACCTGTTTTTGCTAAGATTTTCGAGAAGTTAATACATAAAAACGTATCTGATTTCTTTAATAAGCACAATCTTTTCTGTGATAATCAGTTTGGTTTCCGCAGTAAGCACTCAACCTTTCATGCACTTGTTTCAGCAGTAGAAAATCTTCATGATGCTATCGATAATAAGAATTTTACATTAGGTATATTTATAGATTTTTCCAAAGCTTTCGATACAGTGCGGCATAATATTTTGTTAGAAAAGCTGGAGAACTATGGTATTCGAGGAAATGTCATTAAATTATTAAACAGTTATTTATCAGATCGGGTTCAGTATGTTAGCTATGGTGGATTCGAAAGTTGTCTCTTAAAAATAACCTGTGGTATTCCACAGGGGTCAGTGTTAGGCCCCCTGCTCTTCATTATTTTTATCAATGATTTGGCAAATATTTGTGAGTTAGCTAAATTTATCCTCTTTGCGGATGATTTAAACCTTTTTCTTCAAAATAAAGACCGAAATTTACTTTACAAAAATGCTAATGAGGTATTATCAAAGATTCACGAATATTGCTGCTTAAATAGGTTAATCATTAATTTTGAAAAATGCTGTTTTATGGAATTCGGAAATAGTAAAGTTCCTAAGAATCAAAAGTTTGTTGGAATACTTAACAACCAGTTTAATCAAGTGAATAAGTGTAAATTTTTGGGAGTCATTATTAATTCTAATTTAACGTGGAATGATCATATTACCAATGTAATAACGCAAGTTTCAAAATCTTGCGGATCACTCTACTCAATAAGTTCTATAGTACCAGCCAAAGTGTTAAGACAAGTATATATTTCACTTGTTCAACCATATTTAATGTATTGTATACCACTGTGGGGTGCTGTTTTTCACCATCCTTTGCTGCAAAAACTGTTTGTGTTGCAGAAAAAATGTATTCGTATTGTGAGTAGAAAAACAATAAAGATTGATCACAAGTTTCAAAATACTAAACCAATGTTCTTTCGTTTGAAATTATTAACCTTGTTTAACTTATTTACATACTTTACTGGATGTATTGCAATGAGGCTACTTAAAGAACAAATTCCTATTGATGTTTATCGCCGGTTTAGCAAGTCAAGTAGATCATGCAGACTGCTATATCCTAAATTCTCAATGTCTAAGACCAAGAATAGTAATTTTGTTTTTAATGCATCCAAAATTTTAAATTATCTCCTTGATCATGATGTACCGTATCATATTTTGTCAATTTCACTATTTAAAAAGAGATTTAAGAACCATTTGCTTCATATACAAAACCTAGGGCTAAATGGGGATCATGGATGGCTACCATGTAATCACGATATCTTCTCGAATGTATCAATTTCATAAAATAAGTTAATTTCAACTAGGGAAATATAAATTGAAGTTAATGTTTTGGGGACGTTTGTGTGTTTTTTGTGTGGATTTTATTGTGAGTATTTAAAACAAGATAGGGACTATAATTGTAACGGTTTAAGTGTATACGTCTTTATTAATGTTGCCTCCGATTTCACTACACTGACAACATTCACTTTTTATTTTTTTGTGTTATTTTTTACTTGAGATCTCATATCATAAAATTTTACCATCGCGATACGGGTATTAATTTACCTCCCAGCGGTGAGACACCGCTTCCCTCCATCGCCATGTTTGAAGCTCTCCCAGCATCTGTTCTACTTCAGAGGGAAGTGATTTATTTTATATTTTAAAATTGTTATTATTCCAGTATAACAAATAAATTTTCAAATCGTGTAAATCGTGTAAAATCGTGTTACCATTTGGCGCCCCACGCCCCCACAACAACAGGCAAAGGAACCTTGTCCCAAATTTGGTAAACAATCTTCTTTCAAACAATAACAATTTCAAATTCATGAGTGTATTTGAACTAATGTATGCCAAAATTTAACAAAAAGAACCTATTTCCGAAACAAGAATTCATTCCTCGTGGGCTGAAGGACCATCTGTGTCATGAATTGTTTATCCATGAGTTCTATGAACATAGTGCGATGATATTTTGTAGACATGTGTGATGATGTGATGTCATAAATTTTACTTTACTTACTACATTTAGAAGATTCGAACATGCTTGTTGGTAAGCAATACATTATTATAGCGGTCATGAGGAGTATAGGACACTATGGCGGAAGTCGCGAGGGCGAAGGACTCAAGGAGTCCTTACAGCCCAGTTGTAGCCTTGAAGTGCGACTTTAGCATCACTAATGTAAGGATTGATGCAAGAATCTGTTATGGCGAAGAAGGGTAGGCCTCATTTTCCTTTAATTATCTGGTCCTTCAAGAAATGTGTTTCCATTTGACCATAAGTGGCATGGCGGCTGGGCAAATGGACCTAGAATTTAAAAGCAGGATGCGGGATAGTTGCCGATGAGGTTCATTGGCATTGGCCCTTGAAATATTTTTTGTTTGGGATTACCATTTGAGAAGTTGGCGTTTTCGACAATGGTATTTGCAGGGGACCTTAGTGTCAATCCCAGGTCGTAATATTCATGATTCTCTCAGCAGCTCTTCTTTGCTGTACACAACAAAGAGAACTTCATTTCAAATGGAATCGATAGGATTAAACTTAATTAACTTACTAAGTTCAAGCCTTTCCTTATCATCAGTTTCCATGCTTTCAGCAGCCTTTTTGTAGTACTCCACTGCACTTCCGTATTCACCCTGGGTGATCAATCATAGTTTAAAGTAATAACAACACTGCAAATCTATTACTTTTATTATTAAAATCGGCCTTCTTGGAAGCCGATGAAATTTTGGTCTACCACTCACCAGCATGTTGTATAGGCTAGCAAGAGAGCTGCATGCCTGCGAGTACACAGTTTTGTCTCCAACTTCTTCTGATATCTTGACAAATTCCTTGTAGTTTTCTGTTGCCTCCGCAAGCTTTCCTTCACTGCAAATCATTTCAAATCAATTTAATGATGGCCTAATTCATTTAATGTAAAATAAGTACAGCTTAAGTCTTAAGAAAAGGTCAACATTAAACAGCCTTCAAAAATAAGATCTAACAAGGAAATAAAACACAAAAAACAACAAATTTCCATAACAAAAACCTTTGTTGGCATCGGGCCAATGCTTCGTGAGCTTTTCCAGTTCCAACTTGATCTTTGTCTCGCTTACATCGATCAAGGAAACCTGGTCATTTTAAAAGGTGAAAATATATACATATAAATGGGGGTTCTAATGGTGAAAAATTGTGAATATATTTTATGGTGAATTGAGTACGTATCCAATTTGTGAAATTTCACCATTTTCACCATTTTTGGATGAGTGTATTTGCCTTCTAGCTTTGGTTTTGACCTGATGTTATCGCTGGTACATTACTACCAGGTACATCAATACTGGTAGTAATGTTTGGTGATCATGGCGATAAAGGTGCATCAAAAATGGTAACTTTTGGTAAACATGGCGACTAAAGTATATCTAAACTGGTAACTTTTGACGAACAATGTAAGATAGGCATATCAAAACTGGTAACCTAAATTAGTGAATTAGAATCTAGGGTACATCGAAACTGGTTACTTTTAGGTGAATATGGCCTGGCAAGAAAGGTACATCAAAACTAGTAACTTTTGGTGATCACGGTGAGAAACACCCACTACTCCATTTCTCTTTAATGTAGACAAATGCAATAATAAACCATTAAGTTTCGAAATAAATTGTGCACAATATAATCGTACATATGTACATACAATTATTCATGCATTTAAATTTTACAACAGTGAAATACTTCAAGATCATAGCTAGGTAGTATAGACCTCGTACAGGCAACTGAACTTTCGTAAGAAAATTAAACCTCTTAGAGCTCTTGGTATTGTCGTATAGCACCAGAATACACATTTAATATTTCAATTTGGTATTTAGAAATTAAAAATTGAAATGGTGAAAAATTGTGAAAAATTATGAATGTTTCCAAATTGTTTCCAATCGAGTTTCCAAATCGTGACCCCCCAGACATTTTAGTAAATAATAGATGTGGATACTGGCGGGGAGGTGATAATTGTTTGTTTACATTAATATCGAGTACATGTTCAGGAGGCTGAGGAGGTGATAATTGTTTGTTTACATTTTAGGGCGAGTACATGTTCAGGAGGCTGAAGAGATGCTTGTAACGCCTTCTTGTTACCCCCTTTGAAGTGTTTATAGGTTCTGAAACGTAGCTAAATCGATTTTTCGTGCCATTTTTGGTTAGAAACGGTCATCAAAATGAGTTACCTTAAGAACGACAACTTTAGTCAACCATAAATTTAGTCAAACTTTTGACTAAAATTGTTGTAAACCAAATTTAGTGAGACTAAATTTTTCGGCGACTAATTTTAAAGGATACCAAAATTTCAGTAGAGCATTTATATGACATGAATATTAAATATTATTAAGCTTACATTGTTTATAGGGCTTTATAATTAATATAATGACATCACCGTTCCTACTGCACAAAACCGTACCAAAGTCCTATTGCACTTAAAGTGATAGAGCTCCTCTTGGACATTACATTTTTAATCGATCCATCGGCCCATTATGCATGGTCTGTTGAAACGGCTGAAGGATCATATCGACATAAACTACGTCGTATGGAATGGAAAATGGTCTCGAAAAGTTCTCAAATTTATTGTGAACCAAATTTATTGGCCCTAAGGTAATAAGAAGGTCGATTTCTCGGTTATTTTTGAGCTTTCGTTCAGAAAATAATTCGGGGCCCTCAAAGGGGGCTAACAAGAAGGCGTTACATGCGTCTCTTCGGCCTCCTGAACATGTGCTCGCCCTTAAATGTAACCAAGCAATTATCACCTCCTCAGCCTCCTGAACATGTACTCGCCCTAAAATGTAAACAAACAATTATCACCTCCCCGCCAGTATCCACATCTATTGATCTGACGCGAAAGTTCAGCACAAGAAAATATTAGATGCTATAAAGATTTATTAATCAGCTATACTAGTTATATCAAAGACGTTTTAATTAAAAATAATAATTAATGACGAATACCTTTGTGATACATGGTAGCAACCTCAGGGTCGCCAACAGCCTCGTATATGTTTCCCAATCTGTGACTGGCGAGACCTGCTTCTGTTCTATTGCCGCCTGGAAGTATTCAGTTTACTGGACAAACCAAATTCCTTCGTTTGTAAGTAAATTCAATACCAACCATGATGCTTGGACAGCATTTCACAATTCACAGTCACCACTCCTGGAGCTGACAACATTGAATATAGAGATTCACTTCAAAACACCATCGACAACATCTCCAGTGAAACCATCACCTGCTACACAGACGGGTCACGCACAGACTCAGGTAACGGGGCTGGCTATATCATCACCACTTACAATAACAACACTACCCTAGAGGAAAGATCATACAAGCTTCCTGATTATTGCACTGTTTATCAAACCCTAACCCTAACCCTAACCCTAACCCTAACCCTAACCCTAACCCTCATCGAAGCTTTCAAATATCTCTCAACTTATACCAACACACACACACACATCATCATATGGTCTGACAGTCTCTCCTCTATACAAGCTATATCCTCGCTCTCAACGAAGAGTATAACTACTAGAGACTGTTAAGACACCCTCAATGCACTCGGATCCACCAACACTCTAGAGATCCGCTGCACAGATCGGATTGTGGGGGGAACGAAAAAGCAGATGAGCTGGCCAAGATTGGCACAACCAGTGAATCCACTTTGAAGTGCCCAATTCCACAATCTTACATCAAACGCCTGATCGACGACAAAGTCACCAGACTAAATCAGGAAACCTGGTTAACTGATGGACCCAGACACACCAAACTGACACTCGGTCACAAACACATCAACATCGTCAAGAATCTTAACTCTACACTCAGCAACAACAGACAAAATTACAGAACTGCAGTGCACCTCATCACGGGACATTGTGGCCTCAACAAACACCTTCACACCATTCGCAAAGCACCAGTGCTTGTATTATGTGCGGCGACGGAGAGGAAACTGTCTCACACTTTCTAGGACAGTGTCCGGCTATTGCCCAAATAAGAGGTCAATATTTCCAGGACTATTACCTCTCTGTCAATGACATATTCGACAACCAACACATCTCCACTATTGTCAACTTTACAAACCACACTAAACGCTTAGTGGTGCCAGAGGAGCTGGACCAGACTGGTGTGACATAGCGAGTACTTACACATCGTCTTAGTTCACCTTTCTCTTCCACGCCCAGCTACCACTTCACCGTTCATTTATGACACATCTTACAAAACTTACCATCATCCTACATTACACATTCTGATTCCCCCGGCATCCTCCCATAGGACTGCCATACCCCAGAGGTAGGCAAAGCATCCACATGCTATCCTCTCGTGAGCTATCTTGGCCCAGCCTCTCTTTAAAATTTTGCGTTTTGTTTTTAAAGTAAATTGTACAAAACATTGCTCTTAAATTCGCACTAGCGTATTATTCCAATTAAGTTCGCATACGAATTTGTCTCCAGAAAGTGGGGAATTTTTCAAAAAATACGGGAACAGGGAATCACGTGCACGATCAAAGACCCAAATTTCCAACCTTAATTTTTAGACAGTTTTTGGGTTTTTCCAAATAGTTTCTGATTATTCTGATTTGCGACAAATGATATTGCACTGTTAGGATAAACGACGTTTCAAAGTAACAACTTCTTATTCATGCTGACAAAATTGGTAAATATGTGAGAAAACTGTCTCATAAAATTTATTAATCAAAAATGGCTAAACGACAACAAATTGTTCAATAATTTTTAGGGCAGTTAAATTCGTCAACAAATAGAGCAAAAATACGGGAACAGGGAATGCAAAGCACTTCTGGGCTAAAATTGCTGCAAAATTGGTCGCAGCAAAACAAACTGTGTTATCATTTTTACTATACAATATACAGCAATACGACCGGTCACGTATAAATTGTCCGGACAATGTCCGTTAATTTTATTGCTGTTTAAAAAGTTTTTAGAGTAAAACAATAAAACAGCGGCCAATCTTAACAGGTTAATGATTAACGAACCTTCGTTAGCCATATGAAACGCTTTCTTGAGATAATCTATTGAAACTGACGGAGCTTCTTCGTATAATTCTTCAGCCAAACAAGTATACGTCCGATACAACTGCAAAGTCATCAAAATTAAAATAAAGCACATTCTGAGGTGAGACAACTAACTAAACAATAATATTATATATTATATAATATATATCATATAATTCCAATCAACCCTAAATCTAAACTGAGGTCAGAATTAATATGGATTCAATTATAACTGTTACTTAATTTAAAGGTGTGTAAGTAACTAAACCTGAAGGGAGGCAATATCGTGGAGGTTGTCTCCAATCTTATCCTGCCATTCTTGTTCAGTAGTAAGATTGTAAAACTTCTCAAGATAATCAACTGCTGACGATAAATCACCTGAATGATGAAGTGTTAATTACTTGATTAATAAACCAAATTGATGTGATATCGATGTGAAATCGATGGCACATTTAATTGGCATATTTAATGCATCGCCTTTCATATTTCTATTCTGACATTTGATTATGAAGTGTATCCTTATCTTTCTGAATGTTATAAGCAGTGTACATTTTTTTGCACTGTCATGATTAATTAAAATTTGGGCACTAGGCTTAAGATCGCCATTTACATGGATACAAAACTTCCGAAACTATTATTTCACGCGATGCCAAGGAGTTTTATTTTGATTTAGATTAGTTTATTTAAACTTACCTCGCTTTTCCAGGGCGATACCAATATTGTAGTTAGCTTCTGCCAGCTTTCTTCCTCCATCTTCTTCAACCTTAAATAACAATATGTTTTAAAAGTCAATTTTGAGATAATTTTGATGAAGACCCCCCGGCCCCCTTTATCACTTAATCATTAACATAGATTAAAAACTGTGTATCTCCGTCAATCCATACAACGAGTAACAAAGAATTCCTGTTACCATGACAACACGTCAGATGTACAATGAGAGTTAAGGAGTTAATCAGTGCACAGTGTGTAGGGCCGATCAAACAATCAATTCAGCTTAAACTATCAAAAAGAGTGCTCGCCATGACTTTAACAACTGTATGAATGCCATCAGTTACCAAGAAAGCTCGAGATCACGAAGGGACATTGAATATATTCTTTTACGTTGAGTAAAAGATCAATACAAATACAAATTCATAACATCAATTTTAGTGGTAGACGGTAAAAAAACAGGGCACAATTTCTTTCGGGAACACAATAGAATTACACGTAAAATTCCGGTCTAAAATTTCAAGATTTATTACTCGAAATAGCTTAAGCAATTATAGAATTGGGAATCAGTTGAAATAAACAATGCATGGAGCGTGTATAAACATCAACTCTAGACAAAGTCGCCACTAATTGTTGCAACCATGATAACACGTCACTTGTTCAATGTGGGCCAATCATATTGGGCTGCGTCGTATGTAGGGGCTGGGGATAAGTGATCTATACTGGCACTGCATTCCTGGGCCGTTACGTGGGAAATATTAAAATGAATGTCAGTGACGATAAATAGTAGGGGATAGTGCTGATGTGAATTGGGTAATGTGTATCGATCATCGTAAATATGGTGCACGTGCATTGCAATAGTTAAAGTTTTAGAGCTGTATCATCAGCCGGCAGCCTTACCGGACACAAAATAAAGTGAAACTGTTATTTGGTCTCCAGGCTATATCGCTACTGGTCAAATTTCATGCGGGCTATATCAGCGGGTGATTATGAAAAAAATAAGTGGCCGTCAAATAGTGCAAAAGTAGAGTTATTAGACCAAGTATATTACCTTGCTACTCTCCGACATGCATTTCTCGTGGAAATGATCAATGAGCCACTGGTCTGATGGGAACTTTTCAAAGTACTGCGCTAGTTCCAAGTACGATTGGTAGGAGTTATCTGGTGCCCCTGGGTAATGAGGTCTATTTAATTAAAATCGTTTAATTATTAGTATATTATGCGATAAGGTGTATAGGAATTTCCTGGTTCTATATTTGGATGGAGCAGTGGTAACTTGAGTTCCTATTTATCAATCCAACTTATCAATTACTGTTTATATAGTATATACTATACGCCCTAATTCACATTAACGATATTATCGTCCATCTTTATTTATGTAATCTGAAACCATTGACTGAAATCTAATTATTAGATCGCGCCATTTATTCACTGTATATTTAGATTTTAGATCGATATTGAATATTTCATTATTATATATGCAATAATTTAAAACATATCGATTTTAGGATAAAACTAGTTTCAATGACGTACCTGAACGACGAGCTTCCTCCGCTTCAATTAGTTTACTTTTAAGGACATCTAACTTGTCATGCTGGTCAATTAATAGTGGCACTTCATGTACTCCAGAGTCACTACCTTATCAATTTATTAATTGATTTATCAACTTACTAATTACAAAAGGTATCAATATAAATTCACACTGAAGGAAGTGGACGGAAAGATCGGTTAACGGGGCCGGGGGGGTCTTCATGGAAATTTTCTCAAAATCGACTTTTTAGTTGTTTCTGATAGAGGGGATGCTTTTAATCCGATAGAAAAATGTTGTTCCTAGCCGAAATTATCGCCGGTAAAAGGTCAGCGCTTGTGTGTAATTGCTTAATTGTATTGCGCGAGCAATTTTTGATCGCGTGCCCTGAAAATCGAGTCTAAAAATCTATCTTCTCCTACATTTTTCGAGCAATCACCCTCAAACTTTCAGGATATGTTCTAAGGATCATTTAGAAGGGATTGTCCAGGCAAAATTTTGAGATAGGCCTTTAAACATTTTTTATTCGATTTTTAAAATCTTGGACCTCGAAAAATCGTCAAAAAATCAGGTCCAAGATTTTCAAAATCGAATAAAAAATGTTTAAAGGCCTATCTCAAAATTTTGCCTGAAAAATCTCTTTTAAATGATCTCTAGAACATATCCTGAAAGTTTGAGGGAGATTGCTCAAAAACTGTAGGAGGAGGTAGATTTTTAGACTCGATTTTCAGGGCACGCGATCAAAAATCGCTTGCGCAATACAATTACACACAAGCGCTGACCTTCTACCGGCGATAATTTCTGCTAGGAGCAATATTTTTCTATCGGATTAAAAGCATCTGATAGATATCACTCCCATCTATCGGAAACAACTAAAAAGTCGATTTTGAGAAAATTTCCATGAAGACCCCCCCCCCCCCCCTGCCCCCTTAAATTGAACGTAATAACTATTTCGTTGGCGGAAAGTAATCTCATGATTAAAAATGATGAAAAATGCTCGGAAAAAAGACGACATAACATAGCAATTAGCAACAATCACGTATTATGATGACACATTGACGTCAGAAACTGACCAGCATTTTCTCTCAGTTGAGCTTGTTGGTCGAATAGTTCGAACAGCTCAATAAAACTGGATACATATCCCTCTTGCAGTATCTCTAGTGAGAGGTTGTGTTTGTACGTGTTTCTGTACGCTCCCACATCGGCTCGATCGATACCTGCTAGCTTACCTATGCTGCGGATAATGATTAATTCTTGTTAAATCGATCAATTAAGTTGCACCATTAATCAGTTATGATAAACTTATATATCTGCCGTTTTTTGACAAAAGTGCCACTAAAAAAATCCGAGGTTTTTAAGCATTTTTGACACATTTTTGACAAATTTTGATATTTAAGGCGGTTCCAAAAGGGGACTCCTGGGGGCCAGCGATTGGTTCTAATAGTTTCCTAGAGATACATTCCAACATGTCCCCAAGATTTCTATGGTACATTCTTTATCTTCACGAATTAATTAAAATTTTCTTATATGAGGGATTTTTACTCCAATAGAAACTTTCCTAAGTCCAAAAAAATAATTTTATTTGGCTCTATATGAAAATGTTTTACCACTAATTAAACAATACTAATTAAAATAAGAAACAAACTATTTTGTTCTATTTTTCTTAGCAGAGGTTTGATATCATCCGGCACTTGATATGACATCACTATAGACCCCGCAACGGTAGATGTATGTCTCCCATAAAGCGAGGTTTGGGACCCCCCGGCCCACCACACGTCTCTAAAAGCTCTCTTAAAGAAACATTCTGCTGAAACAACAAGATCTGGACAGTTTAATTTCTGACTATTATGCAAGTGTATATAGCAACATTCCTTATCGAACCCCTGAAAAAAAGTGTTGAAATGAGAATCCATGATGATATAAGGATTTAATATAAAATATTAGTTCAATAAGAAAGTAAAATAATTTTCACATTTGTATATAATTATAATTTCAAGTTTAAACACATAATTACCTTGCACATGCTATAAAACAGACTAATGTTGATGCTAAGCAGGCCTTCTCCTCGGTCTTCTCTTACAAACAATTTTCCTGTCATTAATGCCTTTGCAGAGCAAATTTTTCTAAGCCATCAAGGCGAATCATTGTGGTTCATTAGCCAATGAGAGTGGCTTACCATCTTTCAGACAATCAATCAATAAGTTTGGATGTTGATTACATAACTCAATGATTGGTTTCACTCTGAACCTCAAGTAATGGAAAATCCAAAGTAATGACACTCTTGATTGTAAAACAGGTAGGGGAGAAGTATTTTTGATCCTTTCAGTGCTATTGAAGTAAGAAAAACAGTTGTTCCATTTCTTTTCTTGCTCGGATTTTAAATATTCCCAAAAATCCTTTAAAGCGCACAGAGTCTGTAAGTCTTTGAAATCTTTATATGAAGTCGATTTAAAGCAATAACATTTTTTCTATTTGCTTATGTCAAGATGATGGAAGACAGCTCAATCGATGTCTCAACATCCCAAGTTATGTTAGATGCTGAATCTGCTGAGTCAAAATTCAGGGGGGAATGGTTATCAAGTCTGCCACACAGCAACAACCATCATTTTATAAAGAAATATAGACTGTCCTCATTCACCCCATCCCATTGATGGCAATCTGGAGGCTTCATCTGATAAACATGGAGTTAGAATGAACAAATTTTATTGAAAAATGTAGCAAAATATTGACAAAAATTCACTAATGATCTGACCATCTGGCAGCTGACTTTATAATTGTGATTTACGCCTCGTGAATTTTAAATTGTACAACAACCGTTAGTTTTGTAGTCGTAAAATATCTATATTCTAAGGTGACACTGTCAAAGGTAAATTGTCCTTAATGAGTCTTACAAAAAAGTAGCTTACTCAGAATTAACTAAGACTTAAGCCTGTGCATACACTTTACACTCGTAAAATGAAAGTTAGGAAAGCCTATGTTATTCTGCTTATGGGTCACTTACTCTGCACCGCCATATTCCCAGAAACCATTGGCAGATAGGCAGATAATCTGCAAGGAAATTTTCGATTTCGGAGGGAATTTATTGGTCTTGCCCAAAGGAAATTTTAAAAGTTTAAACGATCTCAATTTGAAAAATTTTTATACGAAGTTTTTTTTTCGTTGAAGAGGAAATTTTTCTATAAATAATTTAAAATTGTTGACAATGAAAGGAGGAAAAAACTAACAGTTCTTTTGGATCATATTTGAAGTTCTGTGTTTGTAAATATCACTAAATTGCCGAATTGCTTCTAGGCCCTTCCGTTTAGGAATTATTTGCCTGCCGGCAAACCATATCATTCAATACCTGTCTAGTGTGTAATTTATTTTGTATGCACTCTACATTTTTCAGGATAGGTTGCCTCTACTCTTCAAGGCACAAATAATAAATTGTGAGAACTACTACAGACGGTGGCAAGCTGGAGCCATGTCCTTACTGTTGGTTGTAGAGAAAGCCATTTTGTAACACCACTTTTTTTAAGTGCTTCAGATATATGTTAATGTAGATTTTAATGTGGCCGAGCAAAAAACAAAAAAATTTTCTGATGGGCCATAGCTCCCAAATAGCTTAGAGAACTGTCCTGCTTCACTACTCGCCCTGACATTTGCGCAAGTTGGAAAATTTCCGCGAGCGAACCACAGAAACAGAAAATTGTATCTGCGAGGAAATATAATGTAACTTTCCTGGATGTGGGTATTTCACGTCTAACAATCCGTTTAGTTCTTCCCCATAAATAAGTTTACTAAAATAAGACAATTAGCCTGTAAACATATCAAATGTAATCAACATCGGATTGCCCTGCATGTTGTTTTGATTTTTATTAGGTTCCTAGTATTATCCCTAAGTTCTTAAATTTTTAAGAAACTCTCATTAAATAATTATTGATGTAGTCACTCAGATAATTTATAAATACCATGAACACTTCAACAAAGACCAAATCCTTCCCAACACAAAAAGGTGCATAAATGTTTTCAATTATGTAACTGTATGAAATTATATTTGTTATTATTAACAACATTGGGGAAAATAAGAATTTGTTAATCGAGCTTCTTTCAAAAGCTATGAAAACTAGGAGAATAGCTAGAATATAAAATTATTTCGAAAAAATAAACACATAATATAGCAATGAGCTCCTAATATAAAACAAACCCTTTAAGAATATAAAAAACTAGGTGAATACACATGGTTCTCTAACTCCTGCTCATTTTCTCCTGACACAAAGAAAGTAGATATCCGAAAAACCACATTGAATGTGGATATATTAAAATAGCAACATGAAGCAGGATAAATAATTTGGTACAACATACGTTGATCATAATAACGAGCAACAAAACTTTAACCTCATAACGAAATATGACTATCTTCGAGCATTTTTTACAATGCTATCGATACCGCGCAATTTCACTGTCATTTACAACTTTTAAAAGACAAAAATATCACCGCGCATTCTTCAGACCCTGTGTCGCTGTTCTAAATTTATGTCAAGAGAGTTATTTAAAATTCTTAATAGTACTATTTAAATTTGCTAATAGCATAATCATATTTTATACATTATTAATATTTTATACATTGTGTGCATATATTTATATTTGATTGTAATTAAAGATTTTAAGGCGTTAGTGCCGAGTAATGCCTTCGGGTAGTGCTCCTCAATCAATCAATCAACTAAAAAAATACTTTGTTTTACTATCAAAAAATCGTTACCACCATGTTGACCGCCATTTAATTCTACACCTTTTGGAAACAATTGATTTTTATGAATCTCAAAATTGGCGGTCTGGGGGTCAAGCATACAAAGTGTCATCATAAATTTCAGCTATTGAGTTATTTCAAATTTAAGGATTTAACTGGATCTGGACGAGTCATTTTAAGGTCTATTAAAAAATCGTTACCACCATGTTGACCGCCATTTAATTCTACACCTTTTGGAAACAATTGATTTTTATGAATCTCAAAAATGGCGGTCTGGGGGTCAAGCATAAAAAGTGTCATCATAAATTTCAGCTATTGAGTTATTTCAAATTTAAGGATTTAACTGGATTTGGTAGGGCCTGTCGTGATATCATGGATCGCTTAGGTTCCACCAGGATCTGGAAGTCCTCATAATTCTGCGGCCTCTATGGATCGTCATCTCGTACAACCCTTTATGAATCTTAGGGATTTGGCATGTGAAAATTTGCAGCCTTCCAGACATTGATTGGGTCAACGAGGTGTCGTTCGTCACCTCAAGATCGGGTGACACGGGGCTGACCAGGCCAGAACCCAATTGATTAGGTCTGAGGTTTACCCGATTATGAGCCTGAGGTCACGTGACTATGAAGTCACCAGAGCTTGTTCTCCGAGCTCAAGCTACTTGATCAGGCCTTATATGGAATAATATAGTGTATTGAGTGTAATTGGATCCAATTAGAGGGGCTGCGCAATTATCGCAGCATGATATCACCTTCTGAAACCCAGCATGGAGCTGGGCCAGAGCAGAGATTTGAAAATATAAGGATTATAATTTGTTGATGAAAATCGAAGTGAAAATCATGTAACCCTATGTTTTCGAGGACGGCGAACACGATAAAACTGGTTATAATTATCATACTTCAGGGCAAATTGCTTAAAAATGCACTTGAATGTCATATGTGTTATTATCACAATGCTGGCAAGCATTACCGTCGCCCTTATATTCACAATACTATTTACCCCCTATACTAGTATATCCCCTAAATTGTTTTCCAGGCATTAAGACTCATCGAAAGTAGTTCAGCAGGCATTTTTAAGTTCAAAACATTCTAATTCAATGTTAAAGATGACAGGAATAAGAAATAGTTATGTGGAGGTTTTTAAGAAATTTGCGCAAAATACGCGCCAGCATGTTATACGAAATTAGGTAAAAAACCCAAAATCGCCATATTCAGGTGCCTTAAAAACCATGTTAAAATTGAGTTAGAGATATGAAACTTTGCAGGGCGTCTAGACCTTGTCCAAATCGACTGTAAAAAAAATTTCATGTTTCAGGAGTATCGGGAAGTGGGTTTTCTGGAACCCCTGTTTTACAACAGATTGTCGTGAAGTATCACAGTGCTGGCAAGCACGAGCGGTGTCTTTATTGGGGGTATACTATGTACCCCCTTTACTATTCTATCCCCTTTACTATTATACCCCCTTTACACCCCCTTTGGTACACGTCGGAAGCCTCTTTCGTGCACGCGAAGCGTGCACTCCGGCCGGAGGCGGCGGCCGAAGGCCGACGCCTCCGGCAGGAGTTTTTCAGGCATTAAGACTCATCGGAAGTCGTTCAGCAGATTTATTTTTAGTTCAAAATATTCTAATTTGATGTCAAAGATGTCAGAAATAAGAAATAGTTATGTTGAGATTTTTAAAAAATTTGCATAAAATACTCGCCAGCACTGTTATACGAAATTCGGTAAAAAACCCGAAATCGCCATATTCAGGTGCCTTAAAAACCATGTTAAAATTGAGTTAGAGATCTGAAACTTTGCAGGGCGTCTAGACGTTGACCTAATCGACTGTAAAAAAAGTTTCAAGTTTCAGGAGCATCGGGAAATTGGTTTTCTAGAACCCCTGTTTTACGACAGATTGTCGTGATATATACATACATATATATATACATATATATATTCAGGAACTTAGGAAGAAAGCTCTACGCTCATTCTTCTCAATGAGGCGAATTATCAACACGAAAGCGCTCACTACCAGCACGATGCTTAAACTCATCGATAGTCTAGTAAAGCCTGTAGCGACCTATGCATGTCCCGTCTGGCTCTCATCAACAAACATCGTAAAGGCTATCCTGTCGAAAAAAGAAGAAGTGAGCCTGCCTAAATCTGCAGCTAAAGATCCGCTCGAAACAACTCATCTGAAGATTCTCAAATGGATACTAGGCGTTCACAAGAAAGCTAATAACAACTTCTGCTATGGTGACACTGGTAGAACCCCCTGGACAGTTACCGTCATTCCCCAATGTTTAGCTTACTTCCATCGGGCATCCCTGGCGGTAGAAGGTAACGTGAACACTCTTTTGCACCACACCTTTCAAGAGCAAAAGCTAC